TTATCGTCCTGTGACTGAGTCCCACAATCCTGAYGCCCCAGACATTAGTGCCGCTGCTCTTGAATTTCCACGTGGACGTATATTCTAAAGAGTCTAATGGCTTCTGTCAGAAGAACATACATTAATATAAAGCATTGGAATAACTGTTGTACTGATTTATTCAGCAAAAAAATACATGCAGCCGAATGTGTGGTGAATTGCTTTATTTTTTGGCTGTGTTCTATTCTCAGGCTTCTCTGTGAGGGGGAGATTTGGGCTGTTGTTGAAGGTTGATCATGGCAATAATTCCAGCCTCAGCCTTCTGGGGAATTTTCCCCCGTTGATGCTGTGATGAATGTCCTGTAATCAGTTGCCTGCCCATCCTGCAGGGCGCCTGGAGGAGAAGGGGAGAACTGGGGGTTGCCCAGAGAGCACCTTTAATGATCCTGTCAGCCACCACACACTGTTCCCGTGGGAGAGGGTTGTGAAGAAGAGCAAACAGAGAGTGTTGGTCAGGGTAGTGGTATTCCTCAGTCCTCTCATTCCCATGCTCAGGCACTGCCTCTTCTCCCTAGTGAGTATCGAAGCAGTACTATAGGTTTGTGTGGGAKCAGTGGGATGGGTTGCTTTGGAAATAGTGTACGGAGGAAATGAGGTCCAKAAAGTAATTGGGAGCTGGGCAAGGAAAAGGCCAGAGAGCAAGGGAGCAGTTAAAGCAAGTGGGGCCTGAACGGCRTGGATGGGTTAATGCCAGAAGAAGGGAGATATTCAGAACAATGGGCAGTACTCGAACATAGGGAAGAAGGAGTGAGGACAGGGCACTGGTGTGAGATGGGCACAGGATGGAGATGGAGGCTGAGGACTAGGGACCTGTGTAGCCGTAGTCCTTCATCCCCACCAAGACCTGAGCTCGCTCGCTGCATCGCCTCCGAGGGAGCACGTGGCCCTCGGTGGCACCGTCGGTGAATCRCGGTTTCAGCTCCTCTTGCGCTGGTAGAGGCAGCACCACCCTGCGATCACAGGTACTGAAGTGCTCTGGCCTCAAAGAGGTTCCTCCAAGTCAGGAGCTCTGGGGAAGGYACCACAGATCTGCCCTGAGGCAGCGCGTTTTCCCGAGCTGAGTTTGGAGTTGGATGCAGTTTAGGTGTCTCTGTGTGGGAAACTCTCTGAGTCATGCAAGCTGGGRTATGGGAAGACTGTATATCGAAGGGGAGCAGTAAAAGGGCAGGGAGGATGTGGTTTCACTGCTCTCCTTGTTGTATATATGGCTTGTGTCAGTGTGGGATGTTTTAGGGCTAACTGGCCCAGTTCTTCATAAATGAAATCTACATGATGTTCTTCAGATCTGTGTTGGACTTCCATTAATCCCTGAGTTTTAGGAAAGACATAGTGGTAATGTGCTACGTTACATCCTAACTGCTTTGAACCCAAAGGATAAAGGTTGTTGTGTTTACTGATAGACAATAGGTTAGGCTTATTGGTAAGCAATACCTCCAAGCAAGGCCTTTCACAACCATGAGCATGCGTTTCGTGTAAGAGATGCCCAATGATCTTTGAGGAGCACAAACTTTGAATATGTGGGTCCTGTTCCAGTTTCCACACAGTGGCTAAAGCTTCTTTCTACTTGGGAGTGTTTCCAGCAGTTACTGCCGCTATTATCAGAGCAATTTACACTGCATGTCATATGGTACTTCAGTATTTCTCCTTTAAGCCTGGTAAAATATATTGCTACTGAAGAGGTCTGTGATACATATGAGAGCTTCCTAAATCACAAGTCTTAGCATATTTTTATACCAAATAGCTCAAGGCTYGTGGGATCAATAATTAATTTATTAACTGGGTATCTTTTGAAAAAACAAAATCAGCAGCCCTTGCTATAGCGTCTACTGCCAATTCATAAATAGCTGATGACAAAAATGAAAAGTGTAACAGCAAAGTTCAAAATCTTCACGATCAAAGTATTGGGTACCTCATCTATCACAACTTGGAATAAATATATCACAGAAAGTGTCATATCTCATTGACACTGCAAGACATAATGCTTTCCCTTGTTATCTAGCTAACTGCCAAGTCCACCAAGTTTATAGGCTGCTAAGATAATGTGCTGCTGGTAATCCACTTCACTTGCAGAAATATGAAGTACTGCTGAAATATATTTCTAGTTGGTTTATTCTTTGCTCTCAAGAGGGTCGGATACTATTTCAGTTCCTCTAAAGAAGCCCTGAGAATGAAAAGCAAAACATCAGGATAAATTATGCTAAATGGTGGACTAGACCCCAGAGGAAATCACGCTTCTGTGGTACAGTATTCCTCCATTTATCTTACAAATGTTACATCTAATGTTAATTTTCTGAAGCAAAAGCATTCAAAGATTCATCTGATCCGTTTAATAATAGTTCTGGTGGTACAGTGCAGTGTTATTTGTCAAACCCACACCGTCATAACTTACTCCTCTAGTTTTGACAGACCATTCATACAGAAAATATTTAGGACTCCTAATATCTAACATTCTGTTTCACAAAACACAAATAACCTAGTAATTAAACTCCAAAACTTAGCAAATAATTGCCAGCAAGCAATTACCATTCAATTAAAGAGTAATTACATGGTTATTTGTGCCCTGTAAAATAAAGCATTACTGAAATCAGTAATGCAATCAATATTTTAGCAGAAACAGGATGCTGCAGTGATGGACCTTTCAACCTGTGCTGATTAAATTGTCATCCAAATAACAGTTTCCTACTTAAATCACCACATGTTTATTTGTCTTGATTAATATGCAAATTCACTTCTGATTCTAGTAAATTTCTTACATTTAAAAGCACAAAAATACAACACTGTCCTACATCAACCGTGCTGTGCTTTAAGTTTCTGCTGATTAATTGTATTTTACAAAGTGAATTTGTATGTTCTATGTAGTATTTCATAAAATGCGTTTATAGTGAGCATAAAATAGAGTTAGAGAAGGTGGAGTGGTCAGTAATTTTAACAAATCACAAAACCAGTTTTATTTTATAGTTTTGATTCAAATTAAAAATCCTCGTGAAGTCAAGGAACTACTTTTGAGAGAAAAAGTAATAAGATTAGCTCTTGACAGGAATGGAAAATAAAGGAAGATATAGACACTAATAAACAATTTCTCGATGTTTTATTATACAAATTTTAACTATCAAAATACTGTTTAAAATGTAATTTAGTCTCTGACAAAGCAAACAAAATAAATGACTGATAGTCAGATGCTATTGCCCTGGTTGCTCRTTTTCCTCTTTCCGAAGGGGAGAGAACGAAACTCCATTGCCTTCCTGCTCCTCTGTAAAATCCCACGTCATAAACAAAATGCCTCTCCATAAAATCTTTTAAAACGACTTGATTTAAGAATGCATTTATTAGCCTAATGGTAGCGTATTGTTTTATGTCCAAGGTCTTCAGTGTTTGAGGTGGAGAAGCGAATGTGTCGTAGTTGTGGTGTTTGAGCACTGCTGCTGGATTAACCTGCTAATTTTCGCTGTTTTACTTTCATAATTTTTCCCTAAGTAACTGAGTGCCAAGTAAACAGTAATAACAGTGTTTGCACAGACTTTTGTAAGCCAGAATAATAACCAGTTACTTTTACTTGAAAACTCCACATACCATAGCCTAGTGCTATCGGATGGACAACATTCATGTGGGATAATATGAATGATTTTTGTAAATACCTTATTAGGAGGTAATTGTAGCAGGGAATGCATATGTGCATCTAACTTCCTGTGACACTCCTGTGCTCTTATTTTATTTATTACTTTATTATCGCCTAATAAGCCTGGACTTTTGTGGTAGACTTTACTATATGGTCGTCATACTGCTGTAAACCTAAAGCATAAAAAAGAAAAATGGACAAAGTGCCAAATAAAACGAAATACAAAATGGACAAATCCAAAGCTAAAAGGAGCAGGGAATAGTTTTAAAGACATAAAATAATAAACCAAAGAAAAATATTTTGTGCTACTTTGATACTTACATACTTGATGTACAGTAAGACAAAATAATGCATTGTGTGACAAATGACCAGGTTAATGGCACCTCTGTGCAGTGCTGCTGGAAGTTGTCTTCATTTAAACGCAGAGTTGGCCTCACATTGATGGAGGGTTTTGCCGCTGCAAGTTGATAGAGTGAGATTTAACTTAAATTTCTTTGTGAACTTGAAGCCGTTTTTGGAAATATTCTCTATGTAAGCCTCATTTATTGTTGCGGCTTGGTTATTTAATACAGTGTTTCACCACATCTTGTCAGAAGCTCTATTATTCAGCAGAGTAAAATGCACAGCAATGCTTTTCCAGACATTGGGAAGCTGTATGTTATTAGTTGGCTTGGGGGAGAGTTGATCTCCGTTTGGTTATTGTTGTGTTGTTGTTCTGTAAATATCTGTATTAGGATGACAGATACATGGGGAGATTTGATATACACAGGCTGTAGTAAGAGATGAATGTGATAGCTGAAACAACAGGTAAATGTAAYGGATGAATATAGAGACCTGTAACATTTTGAATGGAAATTTGCAATCATAATTCATCAGCTGGTCGAGGGATGGCAAGATTTTGATAGACGAGGCCAGCATTCTTGGTTTAACCTATCTGTGGCAGTTAAAAACATTAGTCAATATGTAAAGACAAGTAGTCAGTTTTGTAAAAGCTTGAGTGTTAAATGACTGCAGCCTCCTCAGCAGTCGGCTGCTGTCTGCCGTGGCTCGTGAAGATGTGTGGCATTCAGAGCTTCCCGTTTCTCCTGTGAAGACCGGGCAGCATACATAGTTCTYATCGTTGTCTGCTGCTTCACAGTGCATTGCAAGATGTTTTGAGACCGCCTATGCAATTCTTCTATGTTTATTCAACTACATATTTTTCATTTGTCCTAGGCAAGAATTCCTAATAGTTTTGTCTGTCACTGATGGTTCAAATATATGGTACAAATCAATGCCATCTGCAGTAAGTAAATATTTCAGTAAGGAAATGCATTTTCATTTATCCTCTTATTTCCTCAGCTCGCGCCCGGGAAGACCCCCCAAGCGCTCGCTGGGAGTTGCCATCCAGGAGAACGCACGTCTGCTGCCCCATGCCGTTCCTGGCCTCTTATCACCAGGACTTATCTCTCCGACAGGTAATAAAATCCATCAGATGATCAGCCTCATCTCTTCATACCGCACAGCAGTTAAAATAAACTAATATTGATCTAACTGCCTTGTCCTTCAGGGCTTCTTCAGGCTTTACCAGAGGTTACATTATTGGATTTTTTTTTGAGTGTTCATGAAAACTCTGTTTTGTTGCTGCACTGCCTGAAATCTAATGGATTTGTAATTTGGTTCTTTATTAATTGTAATTTCCTTACAGGAAATTCCATTAAATGTGTTATTTTAGTATATGAAAAAAAACCTGAGAGAATGAACTATTGTCTCCGAGCCCTGTAGCGTGCATTTCTTCCTTTCAAATGCATGTGTGTTTTAGTTCTCGTGGGACACGAGCAGCGCGGCTAATACGTGTTGTATTGTAACATCATTAACGCATGCTGGGAAGGCAGAAAACTGATTGTACAAATTGTGGAAGAAACATTCAAAAAGCCTATAAGCCGGGGTTGTCACACTGGATTCTGTTTTAATAATTGCATTCAATATCATGATATTAAAAAGTAGCATGAAAACAGCTGAATTTCTAAACAAACCAGAAATGTAAWGTGTAATATTCTATTTCCATTCATTAATTTATTAATAGAATTTAAATTAAATCTTGTGCTATCTTAATGAGCGTTTAATTTTTTAATTAGCTGATGTGTGTTACCAACATACAAGTTTATTTTGGTCATGAAATCAAAAGACTACACCTATGTTAACACACTGTATTTTCATAAAACTAGTTTTTTAAATGTCCAAGAAGGCTTTGCAGTTTTAGTGTTCCTATCAAAGTCCAGTTTMAATATATTGTATTGCCACAATAAGCAAACTCCAGTGAAGTGTTGAGCAGAATATAAAGTAATAGAGCACGTTGCAGAAAAAGCAGGAYTATGAAAGGGAGTTGGCCGGAGGACAGTGATGTAGGTCTTGATCTCGCAGGCCATTCTGTTTGTAGATGCTGTTGCACCGTGGCAGTGCTTTGTTCGGTCTCAGTGCTCAGAAATGTAAGAAATAGGAGATGCTTAAGTTTTCCTAGGACAACTCCAACTGCTGTTAAGGGTCAGAAGGATTTCACAATGAAACAAGAACCTTTAACAAGTGGGAATGGACATCCTTAAACAATAGTAGCAGTAACCTCACCTGAAGTAGTTAAAGTTTGAATTTGTTTTGCAAGACCCAGACTCCACAGTTAGTCCAAATTCATATATATTCGTATATGTAACAAGGATTGAGAACTGTGTGTTCACTCCTGTGGAGAATCTATAAATGAAGGCCTTTTTTAAAAGTAGTTTCATCATGCTCTTGACCCCAAATTCCATGTATTTGGTTTTGTTTGTATTGTTACCAACAGACAGAAAAGAGCAAGAGCCCCCTTTTGTTGATAATTTATTGTCAGAAGTTTAGAATTTTCCATACCCCTTTTTCATTCCATATTTGCAAATAAGATCTAAAGTGAAATAGAATGCCATGTTGGCTTAAATAGAGAAATATTTTATGTGGCTGTGTGCTGGGTAAGCATTGGAAAATACACTCATTGTACGTATCCAAGACACCAGCTAAAATTAAGTGAAAAGTGGAGAATATTTTTATAGTGAATTTTCAGACTCGTGACTTTAGACTCTGAAATGATGCCTGAGATAGATGCCAGCTTGGACTCCTCACCAGTTGCTGCTGCTGGTCCCAGGGTGCATGTGCTACACCGTATATCCTGTATATCCATGCCTTGCAAGAAGCAGAATTATTGAATTTCTTATTTTATCTTGGTCATAAACAAGCAAGGTGAAAAATAATCTTTGAGTAAGGAAAGGTGCCAAAGGAGCCGCTTGTAAACTCAGTGGGGATTTGAGCTGTTGCAGACTTGATGGAACACCTGGGATTTGAAGCCTCCATTAGCTTTATTTGTTTCTATTTACACTTAATTACTGACTCCTTTACTCCGGTTGCCTTCAACACTTTTTCTATTGGATTCTTTCCTTTTGGCTGAACTTGAAGCAAAACACACTTTAACACTTCTCGCAGAATGGGGATTTTCCTACCAGACTTGTGTGTATAGGGTGGAATAAAAGTTACAAGGTTGTTAACCCGTTGCCTCCTGGCTAGGTTTTAATTTGGTTATTGGAGGTCTCAAACTTGCAGATAATTTGCTGTGGTTCAGACAGTGCTGCCCACAGAGCTGGTATCTTAAGGGGGAGCAGGGCCAGGCCTGTGAGGGAGACTGGGGTCTGTGAGGTGGAGGCCTTGCAATGCAGCAATGCAGCCTTGCAATGCAGCAGGGGTGAGATCCAGGGAAACTCCCGCCTTTTCCAGCGAAACTGCTGGCGGGATGGAGGAAAGAAGGAATCTTTGTGTCTTGGCGGCTTCTTGAGTTATACTGCACTATAATTTCCAGAGTCTTCCTCCTTGGGACGTTTTCTGATGCACCCCTTGAAGATGCCTGTGTCTCAYGCTGTCCCTTTGCGCGCAGCACAGCTGTAGGGATGGTTGTGCTGGTGTCACAGCTTCCTTCTCCTCGACACCTGAAGTCTCCTCAGCACGTCTGACCTCAGCTTTTTCTAGTGTGTCCAACTTAAAGCCCYGCTTGTTTCCTCCTTCAGATAAACTCACTTTTGGCACCAGACTCCACATGGGCAGCTGCAGCGTGATTGCCATCCTTGGTGTTGTTGGGTTTCCCTTCCTACCTGGTGATGGTCTGTGAGGTGGAGGTGAAGGAGTTGACCCTCTAGCTCGTTGCTGGCTGGACGGGGAGGTCGCAGGAGCCGCTGCTCCAGCTGCAGAGCTGCAGCCCCTCTGTGCAGGGTGTAACCGAGGGGTCATTAGTGACTTCCTGCACACGCAGGGAACCATCTGTGTTTCYACTCCTCGAAGCGGGCTGTTATTTTCATCACCCATTTGGTTTGTGTCGGCTCAGTTTACATGGCCGTTTTCACATAATAAACAGGTAGTTAAATTAGGCATACTGCATTTCCCATGGCAGGCCTTAAATGTTTTACTTCTTGCCAAACTGGACTATAGCTACTCATGTGTGCGGAAGCTGTAAGCGAAGTGTCTGCCCTTTAAAACACTCGCAGGTACCTGCTGCCTTTGGGGAACGGGAATGTTTGCACGCTGCTGAGCCTGGAGCAGCGGGGTAGGTAAAGCTGCTGTGGGTGAGAAGGATGAGGCTGTGTGCTGGGGTACCCACTGCTGGGAGCCTTTCCGCAGGCAGCTCCGTGAGGGTGCAGAACRACACCCGTCAACATCTCACATTTAACTGTTATCCCTTTTGCATGGAGGGAGGAGGCTGCTTCTCTTCCAGCATCCGTGTAGGAAACGTGGAAAACCATGAAGTGCCCTGGCCTGCTGTGAGGGCAAAGGAGAAATCCAGCTCGTCAGGRGGAGGGTCATCAAAGGCCCCTGCTTCAAACAATGCCAGGTGATGAAGTGACCTTAACCCAAATAAAGGGGGTTTATCTCCCATTAGCGGATAGGGCTTTGTCATCAGTGTAGCTTAACAAGACAGCCGGCCTTATTTATGGAATAGATTTTAAGGTAGTTTTAAGCTCTGAAACAATGGTTTTCTTTGTGGAGAGAAACTGGAATCCATTCTGTGGTATAAACTAATAACTCAGGAAGCCATTGATATGGGGATGAAGTTGAAAGAGTAGCTGGATCTTTTGATGGTTGTCCGTGCTAACGTCCACCCTCCTACCTTTAATTTCCCTTGTCCCTTAAAAGATTAGAAAACCACAGCATTGGAGTATTCATAATTGCCAAGCTAGTAAGCTTTAGACAGCATCAGATAGTTGCCTCATTTGGGATGATTTGTGCCTGTCRTTGACAACCGAATTTGCTCGGGTGACCAAAGTGGGAAAGGGGAGTTTTTGTGAGATCCCTGCGGAAGGGCATGGGAGTCAGATGGGCAGGCTGGGAGCAACGGCTGGGAAGGGTGAGGTGCAGCCGCCCGTGGCTGGTGCACGGATGAAAGGCAGTTGCGAGGAGTCGCTGAGAAGGTTTATTGAGCTTGTGTGTGTGTTGGAAGGGGAAAGCTGAGACTTGTTCATATTCCCCTTGGTGGTGTTTGGTGGGTGGGAAGGTGAGAGGGGTCCKACTTTCAGATTGAACCAGAGGGGAGGTCACCGAGTTAATAGTCCTGTGGTAGGAAYGCTGTAGCTGGGTGCTGTAGCCAGGGGCTGTGTCTGGAGCTGACGGATGGGGAGGGAGGACGGCTGTGTCCCTCCCCAGGGCTAATAAATCCCAGCTGAGCCTGCTACTTAAACCCATCTTCAGGTCGCTTTTTGTCAACTTGCACTGGTCGGCCCAGGTGAGCAGAGTAGCCCACCTGCTTTCCAAATGTGTAAAATACACTGGTGTTTTCATTAGCAGGTATATTAGTTTGGCCTTCCTTGACATGGTCATTTTTAACTTACAAACAGGCATTGAAGATAGACACAGTCTATTTCTCTCATTAGTCATTTTYTAAGGCTTTTAAGAATGTAATAATGAAAACATTGGTGGATTTGTGCACATATGAATGATTTTTTTCAGTATTTGTAGCTTTGGCTTATTAGAAGGTAAGACAAGCTTCTGTGAGCTGAATAGTTTCATGTAATTAATATTTTAGTGTAATAAATAYTTTAATAGATACAACAAGTCACATCATTGTGGGACTTAGCAAATAGAGCAGCATACAGGGGTACAGGAACTTGGTGTGTTAATACAGATCTGCAGTGATATTAAGTAGTTGCTTAGTCTTTCTAGAGAACAGAGTGGATAAAAGAGCATTYGTTGCAATCTTTAAGCAATTTAATTTGGTATATCTTTGTTAAAAGAACGAAGGAGGCTCTCAAAGTCCTCAGTATCCAGCTGCCACGTCCAGGTGCCCCTTGCCGATGGGTGCGTGAAGTCCGTGCGGCCCCTCGGTGTCACAGACTCCACAGGTCTGCTCCCGCTCCCCTGACGCTGCTGCTGTTGCAGAGCCCCCGCCAGGCACAGGAGAAGCCGTCGGGAGCGCTCC